ATGCTAGATCGATCGATATATCGCAAAGCACGCCACGCCACTGGTTCAGACTTTTCAATATCCATGCTTTTTCAGAGTACCCGCGCTTATTTAGTGCAGGAAAAACCTTGCTACACGAGTGATTAGGGCGGAGAACCAGGGGCCGAATTTTGTCGGACCTCCCACCATAATAAAATATACTTAGGATGAGTCTCGACTGCACATCAGTCCGGCTTAGCGCTTCTGATGGGAAACTCCGGGTGAAAGAGCCGAAAAACTCGGCCCCAGAGTCCTAGGCTCTGCCGTGATAGCGAAGAGAGCTGCAGTAATTGAAAAAATAAAGTTTTGAGAAAACGAGATCAGAAGCCTCTCTCCCTTCTTTGTCCAAATTGCCCCTGATCATGCGAAAGACTCTTCGAAATCGTTTGGATGATTAAGAACTGACCGATTTTAATTCAATTGCATAAAAGGGGTTTTTTTATTTTGTAGCTGGGCGATTGTTAGGCAAGACAGCCGTAAGTGCTAACTTCTGCATGCTTTCGTGGTTGCGCATTGGACATACAACAAACGTTTTTTCAGGTTAGAAATCGGCAAAGGAGGGCGGCACTCTATACTTAAAAGCACTGATTTCATTGGCTCTATGGAGGAGTAATGTCACTTACTGCTATGCCTGAAACTGCGTCATTCGTTGCGCACTTACGTCTTTCTCATATGTCTCATTTTCATGAAAATCATATGAATTTCGCTTTTTCAGTTTCGTCAGTGATTTCATCTGGAGAGATTGGACGAATTTTGAAGGAAACTCTATTTCGAAAATTTGACACTTGCTGCTGTCATGACAGGTAAGCTGGCAATACGGTGAGTGATGAGACTATGAGTGACTCAGTCATCAGTTCGATGGCACTCGGCCGTCTACCACCCCGTGACGAGAATCCTAAGCACGAGCGAAGTGCCCGAGCCGTGTGCTTTCTATCTTTTTTGAAGCCACGATTCCACAGACAGCTTGCGACGTTAAGTTTGACCGCGCCAAGTTAACACACGGCATTGCGGCAGTGTCGCGCCACCGAGTGCAGATGGGCCTGTTGCACAACTTTTTATTTATTCCTTGAATCGCGAGCACTAAGGATCCTGATGTCAAAGGAGCTTTTTGACTACCGGAAACCCCCAAAAAATCGACTCAAGAACGCCCCGAAATACGGATTTTCAAAACGGTCACTTTTACGCGGGAACGGATCCTTAACAGAAAGGCTTCGAGGCATTATGTTTTTTGGTTCTCTGTTTAAAATAAAAAATGGGTAGGTCAAAAATTGGGCAACTTGAAATGTAGTTCAGCCGATTCCTATTAAATCCATGCAAATAACTGCACCTACTCGCACGACAATATTGGCGAATCCAGCAAATTGGCAACATTGTTTTTCTCCATTTAAACTTACGGAAATGTATCGATTCTTGGAAGAGTCAGGTGCTCCGCCAAGAATCGATTATTTGACATAGGTTTAAAGGGAAGAAATCCGGTGTTGCCGAATTGCTGGAGCCGCTTCTGCACGACAAAGCCGCGCAAGTCAACTTGACGTCGCGTCGCTAGCTGCCTGTGGAACCGTAGCTTAACGACCCCTCCTCCTCCCGTCATCGGAAGCCAGAGGCAAACTTATGCGCCAAGTTTAAGGTCATACGCACGGTTATCACTTTAAACTTACGGAGGAAGTTTGTTAAATAATGGGTTAAGGAGGCGTGCTCTGGCAGAGCGCAGAGACCTTATAGTAGATGTTTGCCGACGTTTCGACGACAGCGGCGCGTACACACTAAGGTTATCAAAACATAAACAAAGCCTCGGTGTCAAACGGGCTAAACGTGAGCATCGCTCGTCTATAGACTTCATGGTTACTTAAGCGTTAATTCCAGAGAAAAAAACACCAATAAAGGCTCCTTTTCACCTCGAGGAACATTTTAGCTGTAATAACGAAAAGTTCTAGTTACATAATAAAAAAATTTGGTGCGATACCGTCACCTTCCGGCCAAAGCATCACAAGCGCCACGTTTAAAACTTTCCGCCGCCATTTTATTTTTTATAGAGAAATCGTTCAATAAAGCAGTCCGAAAATTTCACTCAATTTTCTTTGTGCTGCCGAAGAAATTCAGTAAAATTTTCTAACAGATTCAACCAACAGTTTCTCTGCAAAAAAATATACTGGCGGCGGAAATTTTTAAACGACACATGGCGCTTGTAAAACGTTGGCCGGAAGGTGACGATATCATCGAAAAAATGTAAGGCAACTTGGAGAAAATCGTTGTCGAGAGTAAAAATTCGCTTGGTAAAATTAATTGACTTTTTGAGACGACGCGACAAGTATTTTCCACAAAGTGTCGAGAAAACTACCGCGGAGATGGTATTCTTTGCTGTACTGCAACTGATACATCTCAGTGCATTACGTTGGGAATCAACTATTTGAAGACGAAGATTGTTTTTTTGTGGATATTCCAGATGCATATAAATTTTCTTTTGACCTCTAAATTCCACATGAACACGTTATAAAACTGAGCAGACTTAAAGACGGAGTTTGATGGTAATGTGCTAGAGACAAAAAACTATTTTGGTTACAATAGTTTTTTGTCTCTATTTTTTGGTATAATAGGACTCAATGAGCAGGACTGAGATATACCTACGGCAGAGAGAGAGAGAGAGTGAGAGATAACTGCAGCTGCTAAGGACGATTGCTCGAAATTGGTCGATTCAAAAGGTAATTTACCTTGGCCCTAATTTTTTCCGTTATCAATTGCTTAAGCTCCAATTTTAAGAGTGCATTGTTTTTTTGTCGTTTTGGTGTCATTTAGAAGAGGAAACCACTGAATACAGTCTTTGGGTGATAACTTTCAATAGAACATTCCAGAATTTTGTCAATGGGTCAGAAACTGCAAGTAGACTATACCGGCTTGAATACGGTGATTACAAAGATGAAAAACACAGGACAGCAGTGCACTGGAAAAAAGTGGCATGATTTAAGCAAAAATATTCTTAAAATCGCTAAGATCATTTCTTCTCGAGTCAAGATGAAAACTGCGTAAGTTACGGCAAGAAAAAAATATGCTTATTCCTACAAATAAAGAAGAAGAAGAAGAAATCGCTTATATTAAGCAGAAACCTGCTCAATTCAAGCATTCGTATTCTTGATTCAGGACAAAGGTTTCTTCACAGCAAATTCAAAAAATACTTTTGCTTATTTGAAGTTATTTTTTCACTAAGGGCAAAATGATATTATCAACCTTATGGAGAACTATAACACGATTCCAATTTTGGAAAAAGAATCAAGGCGGAAGAATTATCTGACTTACCACGTATTTTTTGGCATTGTCATCTTGGACGGTTTTGGTGGAGACGATCTCGAACCTGAGACAAGTGAGATCATTGTGGTCATCTGAATTCGTGGTTTCGTTTAAAGATGAACTGTGCGTCCCGTTTGTTCCGTTCGTCTCATTTGGAGTGCTTGTCCAAGAGGCTGAAACAAAATAATTCAATCCATCAGATCACCGGTAAAAGGTGGTTTATTATTGTTTCTAACAGCCCTTGTTGTAATACACAAAAATACGCAAAGTTTTTACGTAGACTGCGAGGTTAATGGTCGGGCGAACCTTAAGTGCTCATCGTAAGTTCTGAGCATGATCCATANCGGTGCCCTGGAAAAGAGTGGCATGATTTAAGCAAACATATTCTTAAACATACCGCTAAGATTATTTCTTCTCGAGTAAAGATGAAAAATGCTTACGCCAGGAAAAAAAGATGCTTCTTCCCCCTGGTAAAAATTGTTAGTAGAATCTGTGTTCCAAAATACCATGGACCTACAGCCGGCTGTAAGATTTCCAATGGCTTTTACAGCCGGCTGTAAGATTTCCAATAGCTTCTATAGCCTGCTACACAATTTCTTATAGCCTTTTATAGCCGATGGCGACTAAGCAACAGCCAGGCGATAAAGTGTATGCTAAACGTTACTAATTACGGATGCTCGGACTTAGTGAGTTTTTGGACTATGATCTTTTTTTGGGCCGTAGTATCTTGATTTATTTTCCAGGAAAGCTCTGTACTTTTGGTGGATGCCTGCCATTCCTAATATATTAGAGCGCCTCCAGTTTCGTATGATACTTTGCAATACCTCTGATGTGAAATAGTTGCTTCCAGCGCCGTGGCACGCTGCTGCGCGGCAGGCGGGCAGCCAGCGAGAAACGCGCATTGGCGCCTACAAACCTAACAGGGATACTTCACGCGTTGCGCAATGCGTGAAGTATCCCTGTTAGGTTTGTAGGCGCCAGTGCGTCGCCGCTCCGCTTTGTGTTAGGCTCTAATATTTAATCTGGCGGAGTCCGCGTTCTTCAACTCATGATTTTGAAATGTTTGCACATCCTGTATGGATAATTCTCATTTTAATTGATGAAAAAAAATATGTATTAAAGGAGAATATAACGTGTGTTTTGTAAGTATTAAGGTGGTTCCGTATAAAACTTAATGATTCCCAAAGCACACGAATTTCTACACAATTTCTTATAGCCTTTTATAATCGATGGCGAAAAAGCAACAGCCAGGCGATAAGGTGTAAAGCCCGGCGATAGGAACTATCGCCCGGCTGCATAATTTTTCTATCGCTTCGTATAGCCCGGCCGTATGATTTTCACCGCATTCTACAGCCAGCTATATGATTTTCTGTAGCCTTCTTTAGCCAGCTATAAGAATTCCTATGGTATTTTGAAACGGAGCTCTTATCGCTAATTTTTACCAGGACCTACAAATAAAGAAGAAGAAGTCGCTTATATTAAGCAGGAACCTGCTCAATTCAAGCAATTGTTTTCTTGATTCAGGAAAAAGGTTTTTTGACGGCAAATTCAAGAATACTTCTGTTTATATTAAGTCATTTTTCTACTGCGCGAAAAAATGTCTTCCTGAGAGCCAAATGATATTATCAACCTAAATAGAGAACTACAACACGATTCCAATTTTGGAAAAAGAATCAAGGCGGAAGAATTATCTGACTTACCACGTATTTTTTGGCATTGTCATCTTGGACGGTTTTGGTGGAGACGATCTCGAACCTGAGACAAGTGAGATCATTGTGGTCATCTGAATTCGTGGTTTCGTTTAGAGATGAACTGTGCGTCCCGTTTGTTCCGTTCGTCTCATTTGGAGTGCTTGTCCAAGAGGCTGAAACAAAATAATTCAATCCATCAGATCACCGGTAAAAGGTGGTTTATTATTGTTTCTAACAGCCCTTGTTGTAATACACAAGAATACGCAAAGTTTTTACGTAGACTGCGAGGTTAATGGTCGGGCGAACCTTAAGTGCTCATCGTAAGTTCTGAGCATGATCCATACTGCCGTGCTAAGTAAAAACGCCGTATGAACCTTCAGACGTTGCCAAATGTCCTTTGATAAAACACTAATTTCCTGGTACATTTATGAATATTTTCCTTTCGGTTTTTCAGACAATTTTGTACACAATTTCACCTAAAGTTCCTGAAAATTTCAAGGAAAAATATTCATATAACTTTCTTCGAAAATAAACTTTTTATTGAGGGAAATTTGGCAACTCTCGAATTTTCTCATCAAAATTTCTTGTCAGAATCGATTCACTCCATGAAAATATCGTGAGTCAACTCCCAAGCGTGATATCATCGTTGAAATCAGCATTGATAGCAGCGTGATATCAGCATTGATCAGTACTGGTTACAAAAATCTCAAATGTTCCAATCATAATAAAACCGACTTCTAAAAGAGTCAGATCGCACTTCAAAACAGATTTAGCGCGTTTACAAATGAAGGGTGTTCGTCCGTGATGTTATTCGTGGCTACTTGTGTCGTGCTGTTGCACATTCGGATGTATTTATGCTAAATGAAACTATGTGCAAGTGGAAAGATGGGGTGCGCTCGTTAGTTGAGGGCCATAAGTATGAATGGGGATTTAAAAGCGCCAGTGACGTCAACGGCAACGAACAAGTCCGGGCACGACCGGGAGATCGGTGGCGGGACTCTTTAACTCATGAGCCCTGTGCACAAGGCTCTTGTCATATGCCCACGGCTCACGAGTTAGCGCTCAATTCCTTTTGATTTAATGTAGAATCCCGCTTTTCCATTTTCTTAAAAGGAACTATATCCACTTTTACATTGTTTCTAAAGCAGCTTGCACGAGCACGCCCCATCTTTCCACATGCACTTAGTTCCTTTCAGCATAAATACGTTCAACTATTGTAGCGCCTATAAAAATTTGTGGTGGAACTGCAAAGCCGGGGCAGGGATTGGTGCACGTTTCAACCCAAGGGTTTTGTTCACAATACCGGTGCGTTCGAATTTAAAGGCAAGCAAAACGGAAATATCTCTTTGAAGAGTTGCTGTATGGAATCTTTACCGCTGGAATTGGTTTATGAGAAAAATATTCATTAAAAACGTGTGTTGCGATGTAATTTCGACTCTATCAATCTAGTGTTCCATTCCTCACACGCATAACCTGAAAAATGATTAAAAATTTTTAGGAACGCTTGGTGCTTCGTGATTTGTGTCACGAAACGAAAATATGTTCGGTCAAAATGCCCCAGGACTGGTCTCGAAAATTTTAAATTCGCTCCAGTTGGAAACATCATCGTACATGGTACATCGTGAAAACAACATTAATGCATGCGAAGAGTCTCTGATGATGAATGTGTAGTGAACGTTTCATTTTTGAAATACTTCGAAAGCACGATAGCGACTTAGCCCGCCTTCATTTCCTACAATGCTTTACAGGGCCGGATTCACCTACTTGCCGCCCATGGGCCGCCTGTATTTTGCCGCCCCCTTCTCATTCGTTTTGAAACATCAATAAAAACCATCTGATGAACGTGCCAGCGGGGGAAGGGCGCATTAGACGCGTTTACTCGTGTTGAACACATGTTTTGGAAAAGCCCTGGCAACTTTACTAGCAAAAGTTCACGGCACTTTGCGCGAAAGTTAAGTTTCTCAAACCTATCTCTGGGTAAACAAGACCTTCCATTCATAAGAAATGAATGAAAAAATTATGAAAGAACAAACATAAATGTGGATTAATGATTTTAACTTCCGCCGCAGCGCCGCGCCGCGCAGACCGCACCTAGTTTATTGGCGCAATGCGTGAAGTATTCACGCAGTCTTGTAGGCGCTATGCGTTTCACGCTGATCGCAAAATGTATTTTCCGCAATGCGTGAAGTATTCGTGCATTCTTGTAGGAGCTAATATGTGTTACATGCCGACCGCCGCACCGAGGGCTTTTCCTTTCCATCTGAAGTCCTCGTCATCATTTCTCTCCAAGTCGCGCCCGTTCCAGGCCAAATTGCGTGTTTGGTTTCTCTCTTAACTCGACTAATTGAAGGTGCTGTCTCTTGTATCACTGAAAGACGACACAATTAGAAATTACTATACTCTCAGGAAATGAGAGATTTTATCGCCTTTTCTCGTTAGTAATTTTTTTTTTCTAAATCCGATTTTTTTTTATACCTACATTTACAAAAATTGCAAAATTTGCCGCCCCCTATAGATTTGCCGCCATGGGCCGCGGCCCATGTGACCACCCCCTTAATCCGGCCCTAATGCTTTACGCTTTGTCGTGAAGTTAGTTTACTTGCATGCTCTACCCGAGCCCAACCTGCACCATCGAAATAAAGGCTGCATGCTTTATTCCGAACTCAGACTCAGTGGCGACTCAGTTCGACTCAGTGGCGTGGCGTGCTTTGCGATATATCGATTGATCTGCCATTTAAACCTATAGAAAAGTATCGATAAACAGGGTGTTCGCAACGAACACCTTAATAATCGATTCTTTACCATAGCTTCAAATGGGATACTATCGATAGTTGATTATCATGCTTCACCACTGACCACCACGGCTTAGGACGCCCTTATTACTCCAGCCTCTGACCGCATAAGAAACGTTTAACATAGTTTCACCATGCTGAAGAAAACCGCCGTATGAAAATTCAGACGTTGCCAAAATCCTCCGCATGGAAAATGTATTTCTGAAGAAAGTTATGTTTATCTCTTTTTGCATTTTTCCGGATACGTAAAATTAAATTTCGGATATAATGTTTTTACAAATTAGAGGACTTTACACAAGTTTTTTTGAAAATTGTATGAGACGAAACTGGACAACGCCCGAGGGCTTACACGACGGTCTTTCTTAGCGGCAGCATGCACTGCTTGCAGGCTTCATAGCCTTTTTGACGAAACAAAGCCATTTCCAGGTTTTGCGGACAAAGGCTACAAGACACGTCGAGAACGATGAAGAACATTACTGCCGTACTAAGGTAGAACGCCATATGAGCTTCCGAACGTTGCCAAGATTCCTTCAATACAAACGGAATTAACAGGAAAAATTGTGAATATTTTTTTCCAAAATTTTCAGATAATTTTTTACGCAATTTGATCTAAAATATCTGAAAATGTCAAGGAAAAATACGCATGAATGTCATCAAAAATACATGTTTTAGCAAGGGGGATTTAGTAACTCTCGAATATCCATACGGCGTTCTTCCTTAGCACGGCAGATTACATTTATGGCAAGATAAAACGTTAGATGAGTATCGAGGTTTACCGAGACATCGGATTTTAGCCTGGAATTTTCTGGTGAACGGAAAAATCCTGACTTCGATCCCTATTAGTGTATTTTCCGAAGGAAAAATACACTATTCTCGTTTGAACGTTGCCTTAGATAAACCTATTAACAAAGTAATTCACATCAATACGTCCTGCGACTGAAGTATGTTCAGTCGCAAGACGTACAGTCGTTGATGTAAATGTTCAGTATTGTTCAGTGGACATTTATTAACGACTCTGAGGGCTTGTAATAATGTTGTCGTTGCGTTGGTTGGACTTTATCACAGTCTCGAGATAGACTCATCAGACCGGAAGGAGCGAAGAGAGGCATAGTAAGAAGTTCAACATTTACGCGATGTTCATTGTTCACAGTTAAACGTGTGTTTACCTTTGATTAGAGCATGGCGCAGGGCGTAGGTGTTGGGCAAAGTTTCGTAAACAGCTCCTCCCGAGTGATGTTTCCCTCGAGCCCGAGTTTTTTTACGAGGAATTTAATACGGTTACCCAACCTACTTATTGATGGTGAAACTGCAAAAACGCAATTCTCGATTTGCGATGCTCACTCCTCATTTCCGGACATAATTTATTTTCATTTTAATGGAAAAATATTTACCTTCATTTCTTGAAAACTTTCTAGATATCTCTCCTCTGAGTGGAAATTATACTAAGACTTCAAGCAATAGTACTGGTTTGTTCTCCTTTGATAAAATGGAATTGACTAAATTTTGCAATTTATTGGAGACTCTTATTTGGATTGCATTTTACAGAAAGGAACCACTAGCACTGCAATGATGCTAAGATTGTGCAACTTCATCTTTTGTAATAAAATTGCGGAAATCGTGAAAAACTATGAAATTTAGATGGTAATTTTTGTCTTAAATTCACAGTTTTTGGCGAGGAAAATAGAAACTATTAATGGATAATCGGGTATTTCCTCCAAGACAAAAGAAGTTGCACAATCTTAGCAACATTGCAATGCGAGTGGTTCCTTTTTGCATAATGCAATCCATTTCTGGCTCATCAACTGGATTGCATTTTGCAAAAAGGAACCAAGAGCATTCCAATGTTGCTAGGATTGTGTATTCACATTCTTTGCAATAAAATCACTGAAATCATTCAAAAATTGAATTTGCAAAGGTAATTATTGGATTGAATTTATAGCATATCGGTAGTAAAGATACTATAACTATTCAGGTGATCAGATTATACTTGCAAGGTGAAAAAAGTCGCACAATCTTAGCGACATTGGAATGCTCGTGCTTCCTTTTCGTAAAATGCAATCCGATCAACACACTAGTCGGAACGGGAAAACTAATGTAATATAAGTATGTTGTTTCGATAAAATGAGCCAAAAATAGTAGTTTGCCATGCAAAATTCAGTTCAACTATGGGAGTGGAGACGTTGAAACGTCGCGACGAGATTTTCTTTTTCGTGGTTTCGCCGTTTCACGGCCATGCCTGTGCCCTCTCTGATTGGCTCATCGGTTTCCGGCTTTCCATGGGGTTCTGAAGGATCAATGTAAACAAACCCGACGAAGAAGAAATGATGCTATCGAGAGGGAAAATGAACGATGCTCGACGCAGAAAAAGTGTAATTCTCTGA